AAACGCTTTAATAAAGATCATCTCATGGTCGTTGACAACCTCGGGCCCGACAACCTCCAAGTACAAACATTTCCACCATTTGTGACAGTTTGTGTTGTCTTGAATTATCTACGCCTACGGTAAAAACTGAACGAAAGATAACTTGAATTAACAACTGATCGGGTTAGAAGGAAATTATAAACCTGACACTTACATTTTCTGTGCAATTAACGGTAGGGAAGAAACAAAAACTGCAACAAGCATAGCATTTACTGTCCCCGACACGAAACTACTCTAAAACAAGAAGGTGCGCTATAAAAGGAACCTTAGGTCCCACTGGACCATTTGTCAATCAATCTTCGTGTGATTTAGAACTCCTAGAGTCGAGTCAGCTTGAGCTACAGCTACTCCAAAGCTGAACAGCGGGCGCATTCCTCAAAATTGTTTTATGTCTTCATCACCATACAAGAATTTTTGAGATTTGTATTTCCTTTCTCCAATGGAAACTGTCTTTATTTGTGGCGGTAAATTTGAGATCGAAATAGGTGGTTCGCACGATACCTCATGCCACCATGCTTGTGGAAGTAAACAATAGATATCTCATTAGCTCCTTTTGTTCGTCTACCTGCATTTAAATTTGACCCGTCCACGTCAAAGTTGAGTGACAAATGAGCCTTGGTCTTCCCAGAGAAGACTTCCTGGTATAGCGCGCCATCGCGTTTAAACCACAACCATGTGCTACTGAGCCACGTGACCTAATCGATACCAGTTTGCAATTCGTTCATTCGGCCGCTAGTCGGCCCAAACAGCGTGAGTATGTACACATCGGTTCCACTAATTGACGACACCGACGCATTTTATGCAACTTTAAAATTTGATTAAATCGCCCCGAATCATTTCTCCAAAAAATCCTTTGGAGATCTAAAAGAACTACCTTCCGCCCTCTGAAACCCAGATTACCAGTTAATTATTTTGTATAGCACACAGTTAAATCACGGGCTACTTTTGACCTATTTTTAATCTAGTTGGAAGTAGGTCGGATAAATTCAGTTACATTGTGTAAATAAATGGTCAAGAATTGCTCAAATTGCAATCAACATATGTTAGATGTTGTTTTTCAAGATTTGGTACTTTTAATCAATCAGGTTTTTTCCTTTTGTGAAGCGACGCTCCGAGATGCGTCTGAAATTTTGAGCCTCAAAAGCCACATTTTGGCGGAATTCAGTTGTTACCCATTTTCTCGAAAATAATCTACTTGGAAGCAGGTCGGATAAATTCAGTTACATTGTGTAAATAAATGGTAAAGAATTGCTCAAATTGCAATCAACATATGTTTAGATGTTGTTTTTCAAGATTTGGTACTTTTAATCAATCAGGTTTTTTCATTTTGTGAAGCGACGCTCCGAGATGCGTCTGAAATTTTGAGCCTCAAAAGCCACATTTTGGCGGAATTCAGTTGTTACCGATTTTCCCTAAAATAAATCGATATTCAGCCAAACGAAGTATTTAGTGGCTTGTTTCACTCTTAGGCCAACCATACTCGCGTTTAACCCTGTAAGTAAGGTTCTTCTACTTAAAGCGAATTAGATAAGGCCCAAAAATATAGGTACCACTCAAAACGAGCATGGAAGGGAGTTGATGAATGCTCCATATCCCCAATCTTATCTATGTGCTTATAGCAGTAGTGGTGACGTATGACATGCAAAATGAATGGATTGAGTTGACCTCGAAGTGAGTATTCAACATGTCACGCTTCATGCATACGAATTACTGTCTTTTCTTGTTTGAGTGGTTAGTTGATGTATGGTGCCTTCGTCTAAGTGAGCGGACGTCGTGGTAGTAACGTTACCGTAGACTGATAAATGAATATTTGACAAATTTGTCCTTTAATTAAATGCATCAAATATAGCCCTTTGAAACTGATTGGTTAATTTTCCTCGTAAAAGAGCTCGTTTACTGAATCGATCGGTGACAGTTCCTCTATCACTTAGTCGTGAAATTAGGTCATTGTGTTGGATGTCACAACGCTGTACATTTTGCTTTAAGGATGAACGTTTACTCAACTCTTCGCAATTTCAGAAACTGTCACCGAAATATATAAGGACTAGCTTCAAACATCACACTCAAAATTTGCTTTGCTTGACAACATATTGTAGATATCGAAGTAGCTAATATACCCGGCACTTAACACCTTTTACATGTACGTATATGTTGTTCACTTTGGTTACTAGAAGGTCATCTTGCCACATTAAAGGATAACCAAGAAATCACTCCGTAATACTTACCACACGGCCTATCCATTTCATAAACAGTAACTTGCTTTCCTTGAAAGCATATTGCTATAGTCTTTATCATAACTGAGAGCTAGGACCTGACACTTTAATCTTTGCCAGCAGGTTGTCCTGCGGTGTTTGTTTAGTTTTATGCGCGCGCTCATACGAGTGACGCCTGACTGTTTTCTCTCCATTGTGTGTCTTCCATCTTGTTTCGCCGTGTATAAATAAAGCGTATTCGTTGTGTAGTTCGCGTTACTTACTGGCGCTCGGCTAACAACCCTCTTCTTGCGTAAATCAAGCAGATGATGAAGTCCACGATGAACAAGCGTCCGTTCCCGACCCCCCTCAACCACCGTTGGACATCACTCATCCGTTCGATGCCAACCCTGAATCCCTGGACACCTCCATCCCACTCCCTCAAGGCGACGGTGGAGAAACCCTGTCCGATCCTAAGGAACCTGAAGTTCCCAGAGCCCCGGTCGAACCCGACGTGTCCTACTCTAACCCTGACGAAAGCCGTGCGCAACCAGCCCCTCCAAGGCCCCAGCGGTCCCGTAAACCGCCATCGTACTTGAAAGACTATGTCATGTATTAGGGTCCTACCACTTTCAGCATTTATACTTTTGCAGAATTCCTGAGCCGTTGTTATTATAGTTTGTTCTCGTTAAGGAACGAAAAAGACGTTGCGCCAGCAGGTTGTCCTGCGGTGTTTGTTTAGTTTTATGCGCGCGCTCATACGAGTGACGCCTGACTGTTTTCTCTCCATTGTGTGTCTTCCATCTTGTTTCGCCGTGTATAAATAAAGCGTATTCGTTGTGTAGTTCGCGTTACTTACTGGCGCATGTCCATTATCGTCAGGAGTTTTCCGTCAATTGTCACTTATCAATTGATTAAAATCAATTGACGCTGACGCTTGCAATCAGTTATGTTTGCAAACTCATGCGTACAGAAGGTTTTAAGAAATTTTCACTGAGAACTCTCCTTGCCACGTAAAAGGATAACCAAGAGATAACTATGTAATACTTACCACCTTATCCCTTTGGTAAAAAGTAACTAGTTTTCCTTGAAAGCATATTGCTACAGCCCTTATCATCATTGAGTGCTGGGACTTGACACTTGTATTATGTTTAATGTTGGTGACAGGGACTTGTCTACAAATCAGTTAAAGACATTACCGCCAGGAGTTTTCAATAACATGACTTGGCTTCATGGGCTGTAAGTAGGCTTCTTGAAACAAATCCAATTCCGCCGCTACTTATAACGATGCCCAAAAGAGCAATTTGAAATCCCTCTAACGCCCTACTTAATTAACGAAAAGTAACCCCCTTTCATTAAGGGTACTTTGCTAATACCTTAATCATAGATGACTAAGACCTGAAATTTCTATGAAGTCCTTTCTCGGTTACAGGGACTTGTCAAGAAATGAGTTAGAAATATTACCATCAGGAGTATTTAAATACTTGAACTACTTGATTTGGCTTTCTAGGCTGTAAGCATCTTTTTGACATTCAATTGCTCTGAGACCTGGATTATCATATTTTCAAATGTCCTGCGACTTTTGTTGAAATAAACCGTTTCTTTTTACCGTCGATTTCATGTGAACAACACAGTGGGAGCGTTTAAAAAGGTTGAAAACCATCGAAATCGGCCATTTCCTCCCTCAGTCTTCCTTTTGACGTGATAGGCGATGACAAACATGTTACGGGAATCTAAAGGAATATCTAATCAATTATTTACATGTAGAAATGGCACAACTCATCAAAGAATGGCGTGCCAGGAAACAAAATCAACACGAGTAAGATTATTACTTGTCTCAGAGCATAACTATGCTCTGAGTGGCTTTGATCGTCTCTTTACTGCGGAAAAAAGTGGGGTTTTCAGCTCAATAGAATTAAAAAGTACAAATTTAGAATTTAAGTTAATTAAGGATATAAATACAACAAGATCGTAAATTACAAAAATATATCACTATTCTTGCCACGTAAAATAATAACGAATTGCAAGAGATCAGTATGTAATACTTACCACGCTATCAATTTAATAAAAAGTAACTTGTTTTCCTTAATTCAAAGCGTATTGCTATAACTTTTGTCATCACTGAGAGCTAGGACCTAACACTTGTATTATGTCTAATTTTGGTGACAGGGACTTGTCTAAAAATCAATTAAAGACATTACCGCCAGGAGTTTTTAACAACTTTGTTGATATATTCAAATTATTTCGTTACCCCCACCGACGCAGCCCCAAACAGTTTCTTTGGAAACTAGCCTTTATTCATTTGACACACATAACCGCTTGTAAAATATATTTGCGTTGTGAGTACGACGCAGAGATAAACTAAGCAGATGTGGTCAAGAAAATCTTTCTCAACTTTTTTTATTGTGGTCTAACACTCTTTTACGTTGAGTGTGACGTAGAAATCAAACTCTTGCTTAGTCTGTAGTCTCTTCTTTTCGAGCGCCAAACTCCGCCGTAAAGGGGGGACTGCTCGCAGTCTACAGTTTACGGTACATTCATCATCAGTATACCTTTGCCTCAGATTGATTATCTGTGAGTAACTAAGATTAACAGAACTCTCTTATTTCTGTTTTTGTAGTGACTTGTCCCATAACCAACTAGAGCAGTTGCCTTCAGAAGCTTTCAGTGACAATCCCTTTCTCAGAGAGCTGTAAGTTAAACTTCCTTGCCGAGTCATTTGACAGCAGCTGTGCTCTGGCTCAAGAATTTGATAACTTTCCTGTCGTCTACCTGGGTTTCATATGTCACGATAGTACAATTGATTTAGAGGGGCGGAAACTTATCACCCATTTTTAACATAATTCTTTGAACAGATGTGGCAAAGAAAATATTTTTCACCTTTTTTTATTGTAGTCTAACACTCTCGAGGATTTTGTTTGGTTGATCCGTTCGGTATCCACACTTGATCACTTCTCGACTTTCTTGTCTCATTGTAAACCCAATGAGTTGTTAGATCTTATGACACTGAATACCTTTTACATGTACATCTCTGTTGTTCAAAGTTGGTTAAAAGGAGCTCGTCTGAAAACGAGAGAAGGGTGCCAGGAGAAATAATTAAGTAATCAAACAAAGTATATGCCTAAGTGTTTGAATGTATAAATAGTATAAGTCCCGCCTCCAAGGAAAAAAGAGAAAGAAGCGAAAAGTTGTTGATGGGTAAAATTGCTAGTAGAGACAGTAAACACTCTATATTGTGAGTAGTTAACAAAAAACAACAACAACAACAACAAGAAAAAAACTCTATGTATATTACAATAAAAATAAGTTTTGCAGCTACAGGTAAGCAACTCTAGGTTATACGTGGTATTGTTAATTTGGAATTAAAATGTTTTATATTGTAAGTTGCATTAATGTTGTGAGTAAATGTAACTACTTGTCTGCAAAACTTTGAAATATCAGTATTACCACAGTTAAAAAATATGTAATGGCAAGGATAGTCAATTTTGAGGAAATCAGCTCTTAAAATAGTGCTCAAACCCCACACTAAGGTCAAAATGACTTGTCGACCATAGGGACCTGTCAAATAACCGGCTAAAGAATCTACACCCACGAGTGTTTGTTGGCATTAGACTCTTCTTCTGGTCGTCTTTAACGCTGTAAGTCATACTCTTTCATTGCACATCCCTGTTAAAAGAAGACCCATTTGCTTTACAATTCGGTCTCCTGCAAGTGAGGGCACGACCAAAACAAACCGGGAAGATGCCTTGGAGGGGTCTGTAACTAATATGATTATAAGTGCTAGGCCCCTGGGTTTTATTTGAGGCCTCCAGATTTCTTTAGGGTGAAGAGATGTTTATTCTACAGAGCTAACAATAAGGGCCCCCTTCCGATCCGATATTTAGGAAAACAGCTCGGTCAGTATTAGTTTTCTAACCATTATTATGTATCTCAGCAAAAGGTTTAAATTGATGACAATGATGATTCATCTGGTTTTATCGTTGAAACAATTACCTCTTCGACAGTTTTACAAGCTTTACCGTTATCCATATGGCCAAATGTTACGAAAAACGAAAAAAAAAGCGGTCACACAATCTTACTTAGTCTTGGAATGCCAAGGTTTAACAAGCCGGAAAGTCAGGTTAATTTGATTGAGAAGAAATCAACTTACAGAGATATCAACAAAAATGAGAAACACATCGAAATCACACTAGGCCATGCACTAAAATTCAGAAATTGTATTTTTATCCATTTTCCATATTTCATTTTCTTGATTATAAAGTCAAACCTTGCGCTTGATTTTGATGTCACGTTTGTTTGTCCAACAACCAGTTAAATATACTACCCCAGGAGTGTTTTCCGGCATTAAGACTTCCTGGCATTCGTTTATGAAGTTTTGAGTAATATCCCATTTATATAGACCACTTTCATGAATGACTGTCGGATTAATATTCTTTTGTGTATATTCAAACTAGCCCTTCTAGCCTCGTTCTCCCGTACAAAATTCAAAAGAATACATTATCTTAAGCGAGGCCAGAAGGGCTAATTTAAATTTAAACAAAAGAATAGTAATCCGGCAGCCATTTATGAAAGTGGTCTATAAACCAACTGTTAAGAAGACGTTAACGAACTTGTGCGCGCGCGACTCGCGTGCACTTGCTTTGGGATTACGTAGGTTAATAATATCCTAAGCAAATCACGCGGACCTTTTTTTTATGACGTGAACAATTTCCTTACAAAAGAGTTGAAAGTTTTATAGTTTATCGAGTGGCGGTTTGTTTAACGGTTATTGTCGTTCACCGTCAGTTTAGTTCTCCGTGTTGGAATAAACGTGTTTGTTTTGATTTTCCGTCTCGCTTCCGAACACCAACCTTTATGGCTGCTTCAATAATGAGCTACTCACGAGCTATTTCAATTTTAATGTATCTCGTCTAGCCTTTCTAAGCTTAGTTTTCCGTGGTATAAATAGTCAGCCAAGAAAATATTATGTAATACTTTTATACCCATCCATTTAAATAGTAAAGTCACCTTCCTTGTGCTCAAAAAATGACCATAGTTAACGGCTAAATTCTGATATTTCCAAGTTATTTTATGTTAGTCTTAGGGTCTTGCCAAAAATATCAGATAAAAATATTCCTTAAAGAGTTTTACAATGTCTAACTTTGCTTGAATTGCTGTAAGTAGTCTTCTAGATATACTTGCAATTCCAATGAAGCGTGCAAACTTGTAAATCTCATATATAAATTAAATCAAAAGAGGTTTTGCAAGGACTCTTTTTTGCCGCGAAAAAGGATACCCAAGAAATCACTCTGTAATATATACTTAAGTATACGCCGCTCTCCTTGTAAGCAGAACAGAGAATTGTCAAAAATGAAATCAAATTACAACATTATCGTGAGAAATGTTTTGTAAACTGTCAATTGATTAAAATTAATTGACTGACGCTTGCAATGTTATATTTGCAAACTCATGCGTTCAGAAGATTTAAAGACATTTTTATGGACTCTTCTTGCCAGGTAAAAGGATAACTGAGAGATCACTATGAAATACTTACCACCCGTATTAATTTGAGAAATATGAATACGAAGCTCTCCAACCTCGTTCCCAGAGCCTTTTCCCTTACAACTCNGTGTTTTCTGGCATTCAGACTTAACGGCGTTCGACCTGTACGACCTAATGTTACGAAAATAAAAAAAAGATTGGTCATACAATCTCACTTGGTCTTTAAATTTCAAGGTTTAGCAAGCTGGGAAAGTCAGGTTAACTTTATTGAAGAGAAAATAATTTACAGAAATATTAACAAAAACGAGAAACAGCATTAAATCACAGGAGTTATGCCTTAAAATTTAAAGATTGTCTTTCTATCCAGTTTCCATATGTCATTATATCGATTATAAAGTAAGACCTTACGCTTGATTTTGATGTCATCTCTTTTTCACCGTGCAGGGATTTGTCCAACAACCAGTTAAATAAACTACCCCCAGGAGTGTTTTCCGGCATTCAGACTTCCTGGCATTCGTTGATAACGTTGTGAGTAAGATTCTTTTTGTATTAATGTTGTGAGCAAATGTAACTACTTGTATGCAAAACTTTGAAATAATCACTATTACCACAGTTAAAAAAATATGTAATGGCAAAGATAGTCAATTTTGAGGAAATCAGCTCTTAAAATAGTGCTCAAACCCCACACTAAGTTCAAAATGACTTGTCGACCATAGGGACCTGTCGAATAACCGGCTAAAATATCTACAGCCACGAGTGTTTGTTGGCATTAGACTCTTCTTCTGGTCGTCTTTAACGCTGTAAGTCATACTCTTTCATTGCACATCCCTGTTAAAAGAAGACCCATTTTCTTTACAATTCGTTCTCCTTCAGGTGAGGGTACGACCAAAACAAACCGGGAAGATGCCTGCGAGGGGTCTGGAACTAATATGATTATAAGTGCTAGGCCCCTGGGTTTTATTTGAGGCCTCCAGATTTCTTTAGGGTGAAGAGATGTTTATTCTACAGAGCTAACAATAAGGGCCCCCTTTCCGATACGATATTTAGGAAAACATGTCGGTCAGTATTAGTTTTCTAATCATTATTTCGTATCTCAGCAAAAGGTTTAAATTGATGACAATGATGATTCACCTGGTTTTATCGTTTCAACAATTACCTCTTCGACAGTTTTGCAAGCTTTACCTTTATCTATATGGCCAAATGTTACGAGAAACAAAAAAAAAAACGGTCACACAATCTTACTTGGTCTTGGAATACCAAGGTTTAACAAGCCGGAAAGTCAGGTTAATTTGATTGAGAAGAAATGAACTTACAGAGATATTAACAAAAATGAGAAACACATCGAAATTACACTAGGCCATGCACAAAAATTCAGAAACTGTATTTTTATCCATTTTCCATATTTCATTTTCTTGATGATAAAGTCAAACCTTGCGCTTGATTTTGATGTCACGTTTGTTTCACCGTGCAGGGATTTGTCCAACAACCAGTTAAATAAACTACCACCAGGAGTGTTTTCCGGCATTCAGACTTCCTTGCATTCGTTTGTGAAGTTGTGAGTAAGATCCTATTTATATAGACCACTTTCATAAATGAATGTCGGATTAATATTCTTTTGTGTAAATTCAAATTAGCCCTTCTGGCCTCGTTCTCCAGTAAAAAAATTCAAAAGAATACATTATCTTAAGCGAGGCCAGAAGGGCTAATTTATATTTAAACAAAAGAATATTAATCCGGCAGCCATTTATGAAAGTGGTCTATAAACCAACCATGCTAGCTAAAATTTCAGAAAAGGAAGAAATCTCGCATTATTCGACCCAGGAACGGCATCGTTTGCTCCAGATTGTCAAAGATGAAACATTGAACTCCCGAGGTGGTACTCCATCAGTATGACACACACTTTTAATGTTCAAAAGTAATATAGACTACCTCAACATCACTTTTAATAGTACTCTCTCCCTTGTTCGTTGTCAATCATTCCATTTTCTTTAAATTGTTTTTTTATCCTTGTAATCTACTATCTAAAGCCAGGGCCGATTATGGTCTGTCTATCAGTTCATAGCCGCAAAAACGGACTTGCTACCTTCTGAGTGTTAATTTATCTCATGTTACAGTAAGCAAAGTATCTGCTCTTATGATAACTGCCTTCATCTTCCAATTTCATAACTACAGTAGATAAAAGGTAAAACATTAGACCAACTTTTTCATAAATGGTTTTCTTGATGATACTTCAGATTCTTGAACAACAACAAGTTAAAGAATTTGTCTTCTGATCAACTTCCTTGCCGGAGATACTTGTTTAACAACCTTACAAAACGGTAAGTGTGGTGGGTTTAGAATTCAATGACACTTTTTATTTCATACCCAACACAACTGGAAATAAATAGCCTCTAAAATGACAATGAAGAAAAACTACAATTACAAGGACCTCGGATAGTTTTATATATACGGTATTAAACTACACGATAGCTACATATCAGCTCCAACCCATGGAACACTTTACTGTTATCATTAAAATGGTGCATCTTACAAAGTGCGCCTAACCTACTTATGAAATAGCAGACCTACACTTCCAATTTCTTCAGTATGATAAGTTTCTCATCGCAGGTTCACTTGAAACTTTCTGAGGACACCAGAAACCAAGTTTTCCATATAATCCATCATCTTTGAAGCCATGCAGGGGTTTTTATTTATAAGTTGTGGTCTTTCTTTTAGTCCCAGAAACAAAATTATCACCTTCAGAGCTTACACTTATCCAGTCAGAAAATTTTCTGCTCTTAAAATGATTACCTTTTTCTCCAGCTCCGAATTAACGGTACTTTAAAAGAAAACAAATTCAACGAACTTGTTACTAACTGTTTTTTTTTTATAACACTGCAGATGCTTGAACATCAAAAATTCAAGAAATGTTTCCTCTTATCTCCTTACTCGCTGGAAACACTTGTATAGCATATTTGAAAACCTGTAAGTGTGGTGTGTTTGGAATCCAATTTCTCGTAAATATAACAACTCTGAAGTTCCAAAAAAGTCAACAGGAAATAAATACCCTTCTCCAAAATGGCGCTAAAGAAAAACCACAATAACCACGAACTAAGAAAATTTTTGCCTAAAGTATTGATTGCACGATGATTCATATCAGTTCCAAAGATTGGAAAAAGCATTAAGGCATTGAAACTCAGAGCTTTACGACTTTTTATTTATGAAAACTAATGCAATGTCAAACACAGAACCCTGGACTTCAATAAACTGGAGAAGCTGCCAAGTGACTTATTCAAGGCCCATAAGTTGTATGATCTGTGAGTAAAGTTCTCTGATGCTCGCCGCAATAAATACCTACTACTTGGACTAACACAGTATCTTCTAAATCAAAGGAACCCTCTCTTTCTGGTCAATTTATTTCCAATTTCGTCCCTGATAACCGTAAATTTTTTCGATTTTTAAAAGGATTGAGACCGTACAGAAATTAAAAAAAAAAATGGCAAACAGAAAGGGCTGAAAAGAATCAGTAAAAAATCAGTAAAAAGAAAACAAAAGAAGTAAATCCTTCATGTAGGATGCCCCAATCCTCCTCCTTCCACATGAGCCAAAAAATAACAAACTTCATTCATGAATAGTTTGAGTTTTCTTTCTTGTTGTCTTAATTTAATTCCATCGATCAAAATCTACTGGATTATCGTCAATTGATGAATAGTTTAATTTAATTGTTGCCAACACAAAAAGATAGGGTAACCTTTTTAAAATGTTCCTTTTTAAATCCCTTCATTTGGTAAAATTGTGGAATTCTCGTAAATGGTAATAATATTTCAGCTGGCTGGGCAATAACAACTTAAAGACATTACCTGAGGGTCTGTTCGACGGGCAAACTATGCTAAGATACTTGTGAGTAAAAATCATGTTTTGCAACAATATCCATGTGGAAAGTAACTCACTTCTCTCTTTACCTGCTGACGGGGACACGAACATTTGTAGAAGCAGCAAATTTTATCGTGGTCCCAAAAGTCCTGTATTTAACTGAGTCTTTGACTTGCAGTAAGAAATTTTTTTCTCTCAGGAACACACCTCAGTAATCCACCGACTTAATTATCAGTGTAATGGCCCATTGCAAAAACGTGAGAGGACTGGGACAGAGTGTGCTTGTTTTCCGTTTGTTTCAAATGAAAGATCAACTAAATTTGAGAGTCTTAAGCAAGAATAGAAGTATTTAGAGGAGGAAAATGGCAAAATGACAACTCTTAAAATATCACTTAAAATAAAGAGTTTGTATGGATTGGCTAGACAGGCCAAAAAATTATAAGGGTTTGTATGGAATTTTTGCAACTTTTGCAAGGCTCCGATTTGGACAATTTTCCGCTGAAAACTCTCAAGCTTGTCTGGGTAGCTTTTCATTCGGTAATATTTCAGTTGAAATGTTTAAATTTTCAATGTAATCCATATAAGAAACTCGTCCCAGTCCTATCACGTTTATGCAATGGGCTATATCAAATGGATTATGACTAGGGATGAAATTTTTTTTCTCAGGAACATACCTCAGTGATCCACCGACTTAAGTATCAGTCTAGCATCAAATTGTTTGGCTCGGTTTCTCTTGTTCACACCTTTTTAGAAAGTTTACTTGAAATGGTCAATTTATAGCCTAATTTTTAGCGTTTCTTGACTTTGCCAATTTCTCATCGGCTAGTTTGAAAACGAAAGTTGACTGTTTCTGTATTTGAAACCCCAGGCGTTTGATCGGCAACCAGCTTGAGAAGCTACCCCGAAACGTATTTCACGGATTGACCAACTTGGAGAAGCTGTAACTAATATTAGTTTTCGTAAATCTTTTCTCAACATTATCAGGTTTAAATACTAACTTAAACTTTACTCTGTAATACGCTGTGTAAATGCAAAAACTGAGCCTTGGAGTAGTAACGAAAATTGGTCGTGGTGCGTGATCATTCACGTGATTACGATGCAGCAAAGGAACCTTCTTAACCTAGCTAGAAATGATGTTTTGAACAACCTTTTCTGAAATGGTCATTAAAGTACTGCGGTTAAAAAAGTTGTTCTCAGTAAAATGTTTTTCTGCCATTGGTAAGTTCTGCAGTAATCCTATTCAGTGAGTATCAGACACAGCCGGAGTTTCTCTGTTGTAAGGGAGAGGGAAGCTGGCTAAATGAAAGGCTTAATAGAGTGGGGAAAGAACCTCGTTCCCATACTAGATTTTCGGGCCGCAAGATTTAAACTTAGTCTCGAAAGCAAGTCCAGACCTTTGTTAGAAATGCCGGCAATGATGTTTACTTCAAATCCAGATCCGAAGAGGAAGAATACACGGGCTTAGATTTTATCCAATTTTTTTCCTCGTAGTTTTTACACCTACTTATATATTTCTATCTTACAATCGTTTGCGATTACCTCCAATGTTTTATAATTTTATAAGATTATTAGCCAGTGGCAGATTAACATTTTAGAGGCTGATGTCAAAATTATCCCACTCGGCGGAGAGGATAAATCAGTTGATAATAAATAGAAGAAGTTAAACAAGCGTCTTAGACTTAGACTTGCTTCTCCTCTTCCTCTTATTATCGTAGCCTTCTCGTACTAATTATAAAAGCTCATAAAACGTTTGAGGCAATTGCAAATATTTTTAAGATAGTAATTATTAAAAGGTGATATGATTTACGGAAAACAAAATTTGACATTTTAAACCCGTGTATTCTCCTCTCTGTTTTCTTCCCTTTTCCTTGCAATTAACACATTTTTCAAAAACTGTGCAACGTCTTGTTGTCAGGGACCTATCTTTCAACCAGTTGCCCAACTTGACTCGAGGTGTTCTCAGCACAAACACCAAGCTGAAAGAATTGTGAGTAGCGCTATTTCTATTGATAACCAGTTGCAACTCTTGGTAATCAAAATCCACTATATATTACCTTAGCTTTCACTCACGAGTCATTTTTGCCTCCACCTGAGATACTCTCAGAATGCTCTCCAGATGATGTTTTGTTATTTATAAAATTCCAAAAAAACTCTAATTATTTGCTCGCAAAGAACCGCGGATTTCACTAGTTTTACTGAATTTCACAGTTTTACTGAATGGAATCAATTTAGCCATTACGTTCTATTTCTCCATGTTGTTGATTCCTTACCTCTGTTTAAGGTTTCTGGGCACTACCTCATATGCTAAATACATATACGGAAAAAAATCTCTTAGGGGATAATAAACCTCTAACCCTTACTCAGCTCCTACTGGAAAGGTCAGGAAGAGCAAGTACTGAAATTTGTTTGACAGTTAGCTTAGCCTTTCTTCCAATTCCAATTACTATCTGAAGGGATTTGTCAAACAACAGGATTAAGCGCTTGCCCCTGGATATCTTTGGCAACCTCACTCAGTTGAAAAGGCTGTAAGTGGCATCCAATTCATATTACGGTACTCAGTAAATTGAGTTTTTCACCAAGCGTTAGGTCAAGATGGCTGGATATTTTTAGGTACGTTTTTAGGGAATTAGACGAAGTGATTATGATCTGTAAAAGTACCAATAAAATTTGACTAACTCTCACAGCGTTTTCTTTCACGTAACTAGTGGTTATGTTGGTGCGCTAATAACATTAGGAGGTAATGCTTTTATGGAAGAGTTCAAAACAAAAAAAATTCATTTGTCATAGGGCTGACTTAACACAGTCTCGTTACATCTGTGGTCCAAACTATCAGGGATCAAATGTAAACAGTGTTGATACATATATTCTCGTAAAGTTTACTTTGCGAAAGCTGAACTAAACAGATCGTGTTTTATTTAAAAATTATGGTCATTATCCATATACTAGAATATTCATTTCAAGAAACCATGAAAATAACTTAACTCTTCTACTTTTTCTCTTTCATTTTTCCCGGCAGCTTTCTTTCCAGTAACAGAATTCAGCGTTTGCCAAGGTTGAACAACCTCTCCGAGATAGAAACATTGTAGGTAGTTCATGTTTGTAACGGAGGCTGAGGCAATGAGCGTATCGTACAATCTTCATTATAAACAGGAAGCTTTCTAAATAGTTTATCATTTTAGCCGAGGATCACTACTGACTTTAGCAAGTTACGAGAGTCTTTTGTAGGAACAATAATGAGCCGTTTAAAGGATAAGATCTTTCTGGCAAGTAAATGAAACAACTCCCTTAATCTTAAACTCCTACCAATGATTCCGCTAAATTCAAGTTATACCAAAATGAAGGAAAGCACGTCAATCTTTTGTTAAGTGACCCTCTTCGTTTCGTTTTAAGTAAAAGATCCGTCTGAATTCTTATGATGCGATTGAGACGAGGAGGGCTAGTACTGTAATTGTAAGAATCAAAGAATATAAAAACCTTCACTATTGGGGAGTAAAGTCCATGTTACATTATGGTTTGGAACATCATGCACTCCATTTTATTTACTGTGTAGATACATGGACAACAACAACCTCGTGGCCCTGTTGCCTGATCAGTTCCAAGGCCTATCCAAACTAAAAGACCTGTCAGTGAAAACATCGATTTTTTTGTTTTAAAAATTAATTCTAAGTTCTCAGGACATCTGAAAAAGATGGTTTAAGAAAACCAAAACGAAAAGCAATGACTCTTAACTTCCTTAACAGATCATCCTTGCTCGATATTCTCGATACATATATAACTTTTACGGAGAAAACATTTTCAATTAAAATGAATCTCACGCATACTTAAAGAGAAGAGTAACGTTGTATGGTAAAAGCTGATTGTTTTTATGTATCGTGGAGACCTTTGGATAGTTGACAACTTCACTTTTTGCTTGGATTTTTGCTTACTTAATCGAGCTGGTATACCACTGGAGAGTGCTGGTTTACCTTTCAATACTCTGTAAGAATGCCAGAAGAGTAGCATAAATGACATTTGCAATAAAAATCGATTTATGCTTAGATTTTTTTATGTTTTTCAGAGATAAAATAAGTCTTTTTTTATTTTTCAAGGGCTGTTTATGACAACAATATCAAATATCTGCCGCGTGGAGTTTTTAAGGACGCGAAACAGATGATGTCTATGTAAGTATCTTATTTGATAAACGAAATTAATACTTCAAAAAGCAGTGAGACTCATAACAAATTTTAGCAGAAGTAGTACGAATTGCTTTTCATGATAGACTGAAGGACACCAAACGAAACCTGAATTACTGCTATCCCAAAGCAAAATCGCATAGTTTTAAGTTTTTTGAAGTTAAGTTGCCTTTTATATCTTCACTTTGCTGCGTATGCATACCTTAGATATCATGAGTGTATTGATCGATGCAATGAAATGGTATTTAAATACCACCATAACCTTAAATATAGACTCTACTTACTCTGCATCTACATGTATAAGCCCGAGGAGCTTACATAAACCATAGAGATCATAACGAATAAAATTTCTGACTTGTCCAAAATGGCCACTGACATTATTAGACATGAAAAGAATTATCGTCTTAGCTTAGTTTATCCTTCTGATCATGTTAGTTATCACTGTGCAACAGTGAACGTACATCCAACAGGGTAATATTCAAAACATTAACGTGGGTTTGAGATAAAATAAGTCTAGTGCACATGCAAGACCCATTTTATTCAGTGCGTGGACACCAAGGTGATTGTGAGATCATATGAAAGACAGGAAGAAATTTTTAAAGTGCAAGAACTTTATGGGCAGCCAACTTCAGGTTCCTTCAAGATTCAAACAAAGGGTATGGCGTGACGTACCTCACAAGATCAAGTCTATACTTTTTAAGGAAAAAGCCTCTCGGCCCTTAATTAGTGTAATCATGAGGTCAGGCAAACAAATCAAAGTTAACTAATGCTGTTTAAAGAAGCCTTTAGCTATCTGAGGGACTTCTTTGTAACCTGCGTAAACTCAGTTCGAAGGAATAGTTTCGTTACACAAAACATTCACGTTATGTTGACTCACGATTATGGAGCTTTAGCTTTAAAACAAAACGAAACAAATTGAATTGAAGTAAACAGTTTTCGAAATGATGTTGCAATACTCGCATGACATGTACACTTTTCGTTGCTTTCTCCTTTTTCAGGAGTTTTTATCGAAACAAAATCACTGAAATAACTAATGAACAATTCAAAGATATCGCGCCGAACATTCGATTTTTGTGAGTATGCACTTACTGAGTTTATTCAGGGCGTATACGAACTTAACGGAGTTCTATTATAGAATTCAAGAAAAACTTAAATTGGTCGCCAAGAATTAAGAGTATGTTGGATAAATACAGACACCAACAGATGCTTGATTAACTTATGCTTAAGATGTAACCTGGTTAGCAATTCTTACCCACTTTTCCTTATTACTGAGTTCTCATCGCTTTTTGCATAGGTATCTTGTAATGATTTGGATTTGGACGAAAATGTGACCTCCCAGTAACTGATGCAGCAAGTTTAAGAAATACATGAAATTGTCTAACACGAGCTTGTATTGCTTGCTAAGCTTAACTGCTCTTGATTAACTCGTAGGTACTTTCATTACAACGACATGCGGGAGTTACCAGATGGTTTTTTTTCTAATATGAAAGAATTAATAACAGCGTAAGTCAGATAGAATGCTATCAGTGCCTGTTTAATGAGATCTATAAGATCTTTCATTCGCTTCACCCCGCTGTGAGGAACTACAACTTACTGTACCCTTTGCATTGTATTAAATGTAGACCTTCTGACCCTTTCCCAATGTCCCCACCAGTGATATGGTATTCATGAGAATTTTTGCCGA